ATGGATTAAAGCAGGTGTGTTATAAGTGTGGCGCATTTTTGTTGCTTGGGATGAGTTTGTTCAAATTGAAAATGTTACAAATCCTGCCCCTCAACCCAAATGCAGATGTATATGGACACTTCTTTTCTTTTCTGGTTTCACTATTCACTACTTTTTTCAGTTCACAGATTCCTTCTTCACAAAATTCACAGACATCCCAAGTTCCAAAACTCATGGAGGGAGATGCTTATCGAAAGTAGTCACATTAAAATTCATTTTTAATTTTTAACATTTTAAATTATACTTTTTATGACATGTTAGTACTCGCAACTTGAAGAGTTACTGCAGTTGGGACACAAATTTTATTGGCCATGATAAAGTAACAGCATACATACAGCATACCGCATGCAAGAAACTGATTTTAATTTTAGCCTAAAAAGGTTCATAGAAAAACTGAAGTTGAGAAGTGTCCTTTACATTGGTCAAACCCCTTTACTCCAATACCCTTAAAAGATTCCATTGAAATCACTTGATTAAGGAGTAATTCAGCCAAGACAACAGTTAGAGCAAAAATGAAACATCAGAAAGACCAAGAGAGTCAGAAAGTCAGTGTGCCGATATAAGAAATTTCATTAAGCCGTCGTCAATAATCCGGGAGTGCTACAGGTATGTTGCAACTCTTTACCTACCAAGACATCCTCCCTAAACTGTCACTGAATCTGCCCACTGTAACTTTGCACAGATTTCAGAAGTCCATGGCTCAGGCGGAAGAATCTTTTGACAAGACAGTCAATTCTTGTGTATTCCATAAAAGATGAGACATACTAATAAGAATCTATAAAAAAAAATATTTTTTTCAGGCATTTATATTTTTTTGAGTTCAAAGCATTTTTTGTGATTGCTTAATGATGTAATGAATAAACCACAGCAGTCCAAGGTAAAGTCCATAAAACAACAAATTCAGCCCCTTTCCTGGTGATATAAGATATAAAGAGAGAGGAGTTAAAGATCTATACATGATTAGATCTGCAGCAAGTGGGTTGCTTCTTAAAAATGTGAAACCTGAAAGTTAGAACTGCCAGTTTTGATCTCTAACCTTTTCCTCTTTCAAGATATCCCTTTTATCCTATTGTTTAAAGAAGCCAAATCAATAAGATGTTGTGCCTCACAGCCAGGACATAAATATTAACATCGGATGAAAAATGAACATGGATTTCAGCAAACTGTCAGACCAGTAAAATAATGTCTTTTCGGACTGTAGATGAAATAATCCCTTTTAAGGACATCCCCATGGGAGGAGCATTGTCAGTATCCTGGGGTCACATATAAAATCGTTCTTCCCAGTTTGTTGTTTAGAAATATTTTTCCTGTGATCCCCTGTGTAGGGGATCCCCTGTGATCCCCTACAGGACCACAGAGGAAATTGTCTTGTAGAATGTCCTACTTGCTGGCAAGAAACAACATTCATCATACTTTGATTCAAAGTTAAATCTAGTCTGCCTCCTACGCAACTGATGAACACAGCAGACACTAACAGAAGCAGCTTCAGCACATCCTTCTTTTTTGAGTTTTTAAGAGAAGACTCAAACCAAAGACTGAGAAGAGACTGTTGGTGAAACTGGCCTCCTTTCACAGAGGAAAGGTTAAGATAGGACAGTTCTTGTGGTCTTTCCCTAAGAAAATGCAGCAAGCAAACGGCTTTTTCAGTCATACTGCCATACCTAGATCAATACTTTCTACTTCTAACCTAATTGCCCAATGGATATCTCTACACTCTACACAAAGCAGAAGCAGGAATATCCCGCTGTCTTTGGGGCAATAAAAAAAACAAAGATATTACCTGGAAGGACGTCACTTCACCAAAGTGATAGATAATTATTTGCCGATCTGGGTTTACAAAACTCACAAAACCAATACTTGGCTAATCGGATGGGCTGTTCATCTACAAGAATTTATTTCAGTGTGGAATATCACAAAGGAAAATACAATAAAGTACATGATGCCTTGTCACAACTGGAACTTCCAATACTCCATCAGTTAGCTGTGCACTTGTACTTCCTTTACAGTGGGACAGTTCTCAGCAACTCCAAGTGTAAAAACATCTGGAAGGCTCAACAACAGGATCTGTTCAGCCAAGACCTTTACTAATATATAATGGAAAAAGAAGGAATTAATTAAACCTCCAATTGCAAGCTACACCATTCTGAATGACAAAGTCTACAGAGTTGTCAAGCTACCACACCAGAGAATATCAGGTCTATCTTTCTCCATCAATTACTTCAACAAATACTTTATCACAACCATGGTCACCCCATCTCTGGACGTTTCTGTCCAAATAAAACCTACCGGTACAAAAGATTGCAAGCATTGGTCTTTCAGCTAAGGGTTAACATAGATATTCAGGATTATGTGAGATGTTACTGTACTGTTGTAATGTTGAAAAATGTTTTTTGCAAAAAAAAAAGCTATTTGTCTTTGGATTAGCAAAGAAGACACCAAAATTCTTATGTCTCTTCCAAACTGTGATCGCGGCTAAACCTATTTCTACAAAGTATTAAAGTTTATTGTTGTAACATTACAAAACATGAAAAAGTTCAATCTACTGTATTTAATTAAGTAAAAAAAAAGAGGCTATCAGCTCTTTCTGGCAAACATGCTTTCACCTGTGAAAATTATTCATTAATGATTTATAGAGACCCTCAAAAGCCACTGAGGCTTGAGAAGCTGAATTAAGCTTTGCATTTCTCATACCACATTTAGTTCTGATAAACGAGCACACACCCATACACCTGTATACATCATTTTTGCATATTTATTGTTTCCAGCCTGAATCAGCCTGACTGCCTTTCAGGCACTCAAAATGACCTTGCTTTGTTGAAACAGAAGCACAAAAAAACAAAAAACAGGGAAAAAAAGTTATTTTCTGAGCGGCCAGTCTTTGTTATGGTAAAAAAGTGATTATAACAAACATGTAATGTTGTTTTGTTTCTTAAAATGTTACAGAAGTACTGGGAAAACTGGAATATAGCATATATAGCTCTTATCTGTCTCTTTCTTACTTTCCCTCTTCATGTCTCCTTCTCTCTTCCCCCATCTCCATTTTTGCTGATTGCTCTTCATCATTAATATTTCATGTGTAATGTGGCTCTTTTGGATAGTGCTAGCATGTGTGTGGGTGTGCGTGGCCCCCGCGAGCCAGTTGCGTGTGCTTGCATTGGCATATGTGCAGGCAAGCCGTGTGCGTCTGTTTGTGAGTTTGTGCAGCAGTATCAAATTCTGCTCGCACAGCTGTCAGCCAGTCTCAGCCTGGTTGTGATCTCTCTGTCTACCTCTCAACCTTCAACCTCTCCTTCTGTTTCCCTCTCTTTCTCCCTTTACAGAGTTTTTCATCTGCAGCCCTTTTGGTTCCGCAGCCTCTCTTTTGCTCTCTGTCTTCTTCTCTCCCCTCTGCTTTACGGGGTGTTCTTTTTTCCTGAGCTGCATCCTGTCTCCCCTCTCCCCCATCAATGCCCTCTTGATAACTCCCTCTGTGCTCTTATAAAACCCTTTCTTGTGCTCTTGCCTTGCTTAGAATTTGGTTTGGTTTTACTTTTAAGCTGTTCTTCTTAAAATGAGATGTTTTCAGATATTAGATTAAACTTCCAATGAGAATGTGAGCTTACTTGAAAAGGAAACAGAAAACTGTAAAAAAATATGGTTGTTGTATTTTGAAACAAACTGACTTAAAGTGATGAAGTTTGAAGTTGACAGAATTTTGAAAGTTTCTTTTTTACATTTTGTATCCTTATAAAATACTAACTAGTTCCTCTGACAAACATAGTAGCACATATACATTCTATAATTTTCACCATCCTATGGTATTGCTAACTATATAATAACCAACTATGTTTTAAGGTCCTGCTGGAAGTTGAAACTCCACCTATTAAAACATATCACTGACAATCCCTATTTTTGGCTGATTCAATTGTGCATTCACCATGATCTGTAGTGTTAGCTTTGCACCACACATTATGATGCCTGTAGAACAATAACTTTATCTTTAGTCTAAACTGACATGAGTAGCTTCTTACACATGATTGCTTTGTCTTTTTAATAACTTGTAGAAAACCTTAAATAAGACTTCTTGAAACTTTGTTTTATTAGTTGCATTCGTCTAGTCATTCTTCCACAAAGGTTCCATGTATAATATTCCTTATGCTCGGCAATATGCACAACTTTATGTTGGCCTTTTACTTGACATTTCAATAAAAACTATTAATATTTACATTTGAAATGTGGAGAAGTCTATAGAGTATGAATATCAAAATAGAGCACAGTATCATGTGAATTAAATATTTATTGTAGTGGTAGGATGCAATTAAAATTTTAAATCGAGTTAATTACAGGGTCTGTAATCAATTAATTGAAATTAATAGCATAAAAATATAAATATTTTATCAGCCTTTTAGAAACCCCTGATCATTTATGCATTTTTTTTTTTGGAAATCGTCTATAAAGGTGAGAAACAGTCCACGAACATTAACTATAGCAATATAACAGATTAACAACAAATCAAAAAAATTCATTCAAAACAAAAATATATTAAACAAATAAAACAACTATTTAACATAGCACAAATAACAAATGAGTGTTAAGGTGACAAATCAGAATCGTAATCAGAATCAGAAATACTTTAATAATCCCAGAGGGAAATTACTTTTGTTATATGCTCCAGATACAGTTATATACACACAACAAACCACACAAGATAATAAAGATATAAATATATACACATATAACTCTTCTGTATATGTACACATATGTATATATATGCATATGTATAGGTAAATCCAAGTAAAGTGATAGTGACGTTCAAAAATTGTGCAAGGAATGAATAAATGCCAATTACAGAGGGGGGGGGGGGTCTGAATCACTTGAGGGAGGCGTTGCAGAGATTGATGACCACAACTAGGAAATTATTTCCTGCGGCCCTCTGTGGAGCATCTGGGTAAGAGGAGTCTTCTGCTGAAGGAGCTCGCCTGCTAGACCAGTGTGTCATGGGGAGGATGTGAGTCATTGTCTAAGATGGACTGAAGCCTGGACAGCATCTTCCTCTCTGCCACGGTGGTCAGAGTGTCCAGCTGCTCCCCCACAACATCACCGGCCTTCCTGATCAGTTTGTTCAGTCTGTTGTTGTCAGCGACCCTCAGCCCACTGCCCCAGCATGTGACAGCAAAGAAGAGCGTGCTAGCAACAACTGACTCATAAAACATCCTCAGCATTGCGCCACAGATGTTAAAAGACTTCAGCCTCCTCAGAAAAATAGTCGGCTTTGGCCCTTTTTGTAGACCGCCTCAGTGTTTCTAGTCCAGTCCAACTTCTTGTTAAAGTACACTCCCAGGTACTTATACTCCTCCACAGTGTCAACAGGAACCCCCTGGATGGAAACAGGGGTCACAGGTGTTTTTGTCCTCCTCAGATCCACTATTAGCTCCTTAGTGTTTGTCACGTTGAGCTGCAGGTGGTTCAGCTCACTCCAAGTGACAAAGTTGCCCACCACAGTCCTGTATTCACTCTCCTCACCCTTTTCAATGCAGCAAAAATTGCTGAGTCATCAGAAAATTTCTGAAGGTGGCAAGACTCAGAGCAATAGTTGAAGTCCGAGGTGAAAAGGGTGAAGAGGAAGGGGGAGAGGACAGTCACCTGAGGGGCCCCAGTGTTGCTGACCACCCTGTCAGACACAGTTCTGTAGGCATATATACTGTGGTCTGCCCGTCAGGTAACCAACAATCCAGGACATGATGGGGGCCTCCACCTGCATCGCAGTCATCTTCTCACCTAGTAGAGCCGGGCGGATGGTGTTGAAGGCACTGGAGAAATCAAAGAACATGATTCTCACAGTGTTCGCCGGCTTGTCCAGAAGATTGTAGGCTCTGTTCAGCAGGAAAATGATGCTGTCCTCAACTCCCAGGTGGGGCTGGTAGGCGAACTTTAGTGGATCAGTGAAGGGCCTGACCAAGGGCCTTAGCTGCTCCAGGACTAGCTTCTCAAAGGTCTTCATGATATGGAACGTCAGTGCCACTGGTCTGTAGTCCCGAGGGTCGCTAGGGTGCGGCGTCTTTGGCACAGGAATGAGGCAGGACGTCTTCCACAGCAAGGGGACTCTCTGGAGGAGCATGCTCAGGCTGAAGACTAGGCTAAGTACTCCACACAGCTGATAGGAACAAAAAAATAAAGGTTTACTAAATCAAAATCCCCCCTCAGTTATTTGGGAAAGTGGTATGTTCCTGCCTTCCACCCTTCAGCTGCGTTTTCAGAACCTCAAAGAAAAGAACAGGCGTGAGTAAACCATTCAGACATATCACCTAAAGTGTGCACTCATTAGAACATATACATCAAAAATGGAATAACTTATACTAAATCTGTAACTAGATGTTAATTATGAAAAACTAGACAAACACAGTGTGGTGGTGGTAGAAGGATCCACAACATATGAGAAGTGTCAGTCATTCTGGTGATATGTTTCCGTGCATACACACTTTCAGGTGTATATGTCTGGTGAGCTACGGTTTCAGTCAGTAATTCGCCTTCCTCACCACGGTTCTATGAAAATGGCAGAAGATAAGAGAAGTGTGTACGAAGTGTATGAGGAGAAGAGAAAGGCCTCAGAAGAGAGAACCAGGACCGGAGTGTTTCTGGGAGATTTTTTCACACAATGGCGTAAACTCAAAGCACAGGTCTGGCTTCCCACTGATGCCTTGGTTGCGAAATTTCTACTCAACAGGTAAAGTTTGGCATGCTATTTGGAATCCATTTCACATCACTGCTAGTAAAACGACGAGAAATGGGCTTGTGCATGCTCTCACACACATTTAAAAGGCGTTCCCTCTCGGGGACAGGTACAGAGTCGTATATGTGTATTTTTTTTTAAAGTGGAGACGGCAAGTATTTTCAAAAATTCATGAAAATCCTCCCCTATACCTTTGAGCATGTTAAATATTTTACCAGTACTGAGAAATGTGTTGTTGTTGTAGAGGATACAAATATTCATATTTTTCACCTTCCTCTTACATAACAGACCACTTGTATGAAGTTTTGGTATTTGGAGCCATCTGAACGATCTAGGCCTCACATAAGGGGAAAATCAGGGCAAAATCAGGGCAATAACTAAGACATGATCCTAATATCAGTAGCCAGTTGAGTTGCTAATTCAAGCTAAAAAAACGCAACCCACCAAGAAGAATACTTCCCAATCAACCAGGGATGTCCCAATAATGTAGTTATTCTACTTTTTTTTTTTTAAAAGACTTTCGACCTACATAAAATATTTACATCGTTCATATTTTTAGTAATAAAAGAAAATGTGAAACTAAATAGGTGTTTCTTATTTTTCCCTAAAAATATCAGTTTTGTGGTTATAAAATACCAATATTTGAAAACTTTTGGTGGCAAACCTACCTTTGCAAAGCACTTTATCTAATTAAAACGTCTCAACATTCTGATTTGATATACATTTTATTAAGCAACTCTTTGGTAAGTTGAGTTTTTACAGCCAGATTGTTAGGATCAACTAAGAAAACAGACTGGCTTGGCCTTTCATGGATAACAAGATAAGACAGGCTTTTAGGAAACTGTCTAAGGATGCGGCTATACAGACAGTGTGATCAATTGAATATGTAAAGTTCTGCCAGTAAATGCTAGTGCTTAGACCCCAAAACCTTTAAGGTCGAAATGATTTTGCATCAGATGATATTAAGTAGCATTAAATGTCTCTTTAAACAGCAGCTTCAGACCAGTTGTGTGTTGTTTTTTGTGTGTAAGACAGACGGTGTTCAAAGACACTCCTACTGATTATAGGTGCACCCTGTTCTCTGCAGCTTAATGAACATAAGCAGAACTGATGCACACACCTTCTATTTAATACTCTCATCTCTCATTACAGGTTAAACAGTGCACACAAAAGGAAACTGTGTGCATGAGTGTGTGTTGTTGTAGTTATGTTGGTGTGCCATACGTACACTTGTGTGTCTCCTTGTGCATGCATTAAATCTGCTCTACCGTGGTCCCAGGCGTGTGATTGGCTGCGGATGAGAGCTAAGGTTGGCACACTAACATTTCCGCTGAAGGCCGTAAAGCAGTGGGCCTAGAGCGCAGGCAGCATCTGCCCCTCTGCTGCTGCCAAGATATACACACACAAACATCCACGCACACACAAACATACACAGTTTTGTATCAACACTCACAAAGATTAGCATATATGTAATGACACACTCCATAATTCAAAATCTCTTATTTAGCCTCCTGGCTCTCTGTGCCAATCTACCCTTGCTGCTGGCACTCTGTTGGCATCCACTCACCTTCCTGACCTCTCTCCATCGCCCCTGCTTTATCTCTGCAACAGCTATCCACTTTCTCCCTGTTTTTGTATAATTTGCACTGAGTTAAAATGTTTTCTTGGGCCCACATCTTTAGCATAGCAGTCATTGTACTCCTTTTTCACCTTTTTTAGTCCTTTGAAAGCACCACACAGTCATTACAGGTTTGCAAGCACTCCTCTTTCTCTCACATGCACATATACACGCAAGGGCATTTATGCCACAGCAAAACACACGTTTACACAACAGTGCATAGACACAGTGCTATAGGGCTATTTATCAGTCTGGAGCAGTGGCTTATGAAAGGTCAGCCTTTGAATTATGACAGAATCTCCTGGTCAGAGCAGCCTAAGCGTGGGTGGCAGAGCATTGACTGTGTGTGGGAGAGTGAAGAAGTGTGTAAGATCAGTTTGGATGGTTGTTGCTGAGTAACTGTACACTATTGTTTATGGACAAATACATGTCTTGAGTGTATAGGTGGAGTGGTGGTAATGCATCATAAGATCCTGCTGATGTTTAAGTGACTTGCTTGTTGTGCATGTGTGTATATGTGTGAGCTTTTTCAATAAGAACTGAGGCCTGTTACAAATATGGGTAGTAAAGAAATATAGAGAAATATACAAGCGGTTGAAGCACAACCACAAAATGTACATATATAGGTTGGGTATAGAACAGTTATTACCTGCTTTTTGTTTACTAAAAACAGGCTCCATAAAAATATATTGAAAATTTGATCCCTGGTGCAGTAAGTTTTAACTATAAAAGTTCTGTGGAAATATATATTTCAAGTAAAATGATAGCAAAGAAAACAGAATATTATGATGAGTGAAGTTAGTCATGTCAGTTTAAACGAGTGAACATGTTGATTGCAAATCTGCCTGCTTTACTCAATCCAATGGATCTGCTTGTAAATTACCCTAGCTCATTTAGCAATCCCATGAGGTTTTTGTGACACACATCCAAATTATAGGATTAGAATTTTGTCACGATTGCTTTTTTGTTCCTTTTGGTTTAAATTTTCAGCATGTTGTTGTTGCTTACTCTATTCTACTCTATTCCTATGGTAATTACTGTTAAATAAGGAAGCCATATCAGTTCATAACTGTGTTTAGTTTCTTAGTTTATTTTTTTGCTGTTTTGTACATTGTGCAATATTTAATTTTCATCTGATTCAGGATAAGTGTGCTCCTTTCATGTTTATTGTTTCTCTCCCCGTTTTTCCTGACTTACACTCACTAAAATGAAGCTCATTAAACCCACCTGTGCCTGCCCCATATGATAATTTCTGGCTAGTCAGTTTTTGCTTTTGTCAATATTTGAATTGAAAAAAAGTAATCAATTCTACTCTAAATGTGTTATATTATCCTANGGTAGTTACCGGACCAGATGTTTACTTTTTCTGGAATCGGGAGTCGTAGTGTTTTTCTGAAGCAGCGCTTGGTTATTTGCAGAAGGGCACATCAGTGCAGTGAAGGCAGAGTGAGGGAGGGCACGTTAAGTTCATCATGTGACCAGCCACGGTTACCGTGGCACGGTAGATCTACTGTAAGAGCTTGAGCTCTCTTGAATTACTCCTTTTCGCAGCAGCTTAGAAATGTGTTCCCTGACCTCTTTGTATTGATTAGGTGGAATGCGCCTGTATGGCTGAGAAACAGGTGTCTCATCTGAAACCGGGATTTCATGTTTCACACGATCTGTGTACCCCAAATCTTCATCGCGAAGTGCAAAGACATCTGCATAGTTTCCCAGGAGAACCTTTACTTCTGCCTGTTCTTCTGGTGTACCTCCAATGTGTAATCGGCTGAGCAAGTCCTGTATGTCACTGTCTGTTTCCTGACAATCCTTCTGATTGATGCTCACCTCCTCATGGTCAGCAGAAATGCGCTCAAACTTCACTTCATATGGGTCACCATCCATGCACTGGCCCTGACTGAGGGTTCCTATTCTAGCCTTAGGTGGCAGCCATAAATCCTCCTGGGAAAGGTTGATTACCTGGACTGGAAACAATAGGCTGTTAGTTGATACTAAGGTTGGGATCACAACTAACCCACCTGGCAGTGGAGCGTTTCCTGGTTCGAACAACATGCTCTCAAACTGTTTACTGTGACCCCTAACATAGACAGTGGTACCTGATGAGGCGGGAACTCGCACTTTGTTTTTACTGGCGACACGGGCGACAGATATCTTTTCCACCAGCTCAGCTTCCTGTACACGGTGGCAGGCATCCCTCCAGTTGGAATCCAGTTCCCCACCTAGAGCGGTGTCAAACTCGGAGAGAACTAACTGTCTACACCGCTTTGCAATGTTCATCCCTATTATGCCAGGCGGGGATGAATCTGTCTCTCTGGCATTGACCTTTTTTGTTCCATCATCTTTGATTATTAGGAAACCACACTCTGGAACAGTAAGTCCCATCACCTGTACGTCTAGTTCTACGTAACCCAAGTAGGGCAGTGGCAACTTGTTGGCTGCTGTTATTTTTAGCCACTTGGCAGTACAGTGCATATCTTCATCTTCTCCATGTAGATGATTCCTAAAGAAACTTTCGGTCAAAGTGCTTACATTACTTCCCGTGTCAAGCAAGCATCTGAGGGGAACACCTCCGATCTGGATATCCACCTCAGGGCACTGTCCTACAGCATGCTCCAGAAAGTGTTCTTTGGTCAGAGTTTCTTTTGAGCCTTCTGACTTGCCTCGCATTGCCCGGCTCAAAGCAATGGAGGGCTCCCGTTTTCCTGCACCGCAGAACTAGGCATGCCTGGAGACTGACTGGTAGGCTTACGTTGTGTGTTGCAGTATCTGGCCATATGTCCCACCCCCTCACATCGCAGACAAATCGGCTGACCGTCTCTGGTGTATTTGGGTTTAGGTTTAGTCCTAGCGCTCCTACTGTCTTCAGAACTGGTAGCCTGTGTAGTCAGCTCTCAAACTGCATTGGTTAATTCTCCTATTGCTTTGCCTTGTTGTGCGATTATTTTAACCACCTCTTGTAGAGTAAAAGTCAGATCTGTCTGTGCATTTATTGTGGAGTCGGTCTTTTCCAAGTTGTCATTTGGTCTGTTACCTACTATATTTCTATTTCTAGCCACATTAGCACTGCGTGGATGGTCCTCCATAGTCCACATTAATGCCTCCTCTCTAACATCACAGAGATTACAATCAGGTCTCTCTCTAATAAGCCTGCGTAGTTCACGTCGAAGGGTGGAGTCACGCACACCTTCAATGAACTGATCGCGGAGTGCTAGCTGCGTGTCGGGTACTACACCAGGAGACTGCTGTAGTGCAGAGTTTAGCAGCTGAGACAGGGCATGTGAATAATCCCGCAGATCTTCCCCATCTAGTTGCCGACGGGCATAGAAAGCATGTAAGAGCTGTGGAGTAGTGCGTTTCTCCCTAAATGCCTCCCTCAAGTATGAAAAGAGATCACGGGGTTGTCTTGCTTGCCCACCAATACGCAACTTAACTTCTTCTAAGGCAGAGCCCTTTAGCTGTGAGAGAATGAAATCAGTTTGATCCTCCCCATGCAAACCCCTAGTTCTCATTGCT